AGACGCCTCTTAAAGAACTGCTTTGGTGCACTCTGTGAGTGCTTACACCTTTCCATTTGCCTCAAGATAGCTTTTAACTTCCTTTTGAATTTCTTTTTTGTCTTTGTGGGTATGGAGGAGTATGTTACTTATTCCCACATAACCTGTGGGACTTTGTCTAAGTTCCTCAGATTGTTGATATCTATAACACTGTGGTTAGGAAAGATATTGATAAGATTTTGATCATGTGATCTGCCCTGGAGATGTCCATGGTCCTGAGACACACAGGCACTCTGTGGTGGATGGAATTATCTGTGTATATGCTAGCCCACTCTAGTATTTTTCAAGTTTGTTGCTCCCTTGTTTTCTGTCTGGATTATACACTCATCACCAAATATTATGGGATGCTGAAGTTACTGTTTACATTCCCTTCAGACGTGCCAGTGTTTGCTTTGTATGTTCAGTGCACTGGTATTTGGCACACATTTATTTATTTATTTATTTATTTTATTTATTTTTGTCACATCAATGAACTGCCTTCTTTATGATCACATGGTGACCTTGTGATTTGGACTGGCAATCTGTTTTGTCTGGTTGATAGAGACACTTCCGTGGCCTTTTAGTTACTGTTCATATAGGATATATTTTTAAATCCCTTCTCATTCAGCCCAGTGGCTGACTTAGTAACCTTTCTGTTGTTATGAAAAAACACCGCGATCAAAGGAACTTGCAGAAAAAAATATTTATGGGGACTCATAGTTTCAGAGTGTGAGTCCATGACCATCATGGCAGGGATCACGGTGACAGGCAGACAGGCATGGTGCTGGAGCAGTAATTGAGAGCTTACATCTGATCCACAAGCGCTAAGCAGAGGGAAGAGTCAAACCTCAGAGGTCCCCAGTGACACACCTCTGCTAACAAGGCTACACCTCCTAATCCTTCCCAAACAGCTCCACCAGCTAGGGACCAAACATTCAACATATGAGCCTATAGGTGCCATTCTCGTTCAAGACATCACAATGGTGAAATGAATTTCACATATAATGTATAGCTGGATCCCTCTGGCCCAACCTCAGAGGTCTTGCTGTGGTCCCTATGCTGGCTTCAGAATTCCTGGTCCTCTGACCTTTGCCTCCAAAGTCCCAAGTATAGTTAAAAATTTTGTGTCATTACTTTGTGGCTCATACCCGAACCCTGCATTTACATCATTTCTACCCCAGCCTCTCCCTCTTCTAACTTCTTTTATGTTCTACCACCCCATCTCAATTTCATGACGTCTTTATTATTGTTCCACAGACAGACATATACACACGTATAATATACAACCTACTTAGTCTATTTAGTGTTGCTCATACATATATGCATTTTGGACTGACCACGTGGGGTAGGATAACCTATCCCCTTTTTCGTGGCTATTAATTTAATTGCCTCTAGTTCTTAATCTAGGGGTGGGACCTTGTGAGATTTCCACCATCCATGTTGGCATGCCAACTGGTATTGTCATTGTGCAGGTCTTGTTTCAGTGACCGTATTTTTGGGATGTCATGGTGCAGCTTCCCTGGCAAGTCTAGAAGGCACTGTGGTACAGCACATGTCCAGGTCTGCTGGCTCTGAAAATCTTTCTTCTCTCTGTTCTACAATGTTCCGCTACATTTTTAAAAATGCATTTGTCTGTTTTTACTCCAGGTGAAACACTAGCATTATCAATGGTTTGAGCTCAGCAATGGACTTTCTTCACTAGCATGGCATAGCTTCATGCTTGCACGGTGTTGGTTGCTATCAGGTCAATATGAAGGGTTCCCATTGGCGTTTCTCATTAGGCAAGCATAAACACGATACCTGGGAATTTCTCAGCTAACTTCGGTCTGGGAATATCTTTTTTTTTTTTTTTTTTTTTTTTTTTTTTTTTTTTTTTTTTTTTTTTTGTTTTTTTTTCTGTTGGTGTTTTTTTTTTTTTTTTTTTTTTTTTTTTTTTTGTTTTTTGTGACAGGGTTTCTCTGTGGTTTTGGAGCCTGTCCTGGAACTAGCTCTTGTAGACCAGGCTGGTCTCGAACTCACAGAGATCCGCCTGCCTCTGCCTCCCAAGTGCTGGGATTAAAGGCGTGCACCACCACCGCCCGGCTGGGAATATATTTTGCATTCGTTTCTGGGTGGCAGCTTTTCTAGGTACAGTGTTCTTGGTTGGAAGTTAGTTTTTCTTTCAAAACTTTGGTTTCATAATTTCATTCCCTTCTGGCCTGCAGAATTTCTGCTGAAAGCTCTGACACACACAAACACACACAAGCACACAAACGCTCCCTTGTATGTGGCGGATCTCCCACCGCCTTTAGGAGTCCCTATCTCTGACTTTTAGTTTGCTTATGTCTCAGGCGTCCATCTTCAGGTTCATCTTGGTTGGAGTCCTTTCAGCTTCACAACTCTGGATAACCCACCAAGATTTGGATAACTCTCAGCTATTATGTCTTTAAGTAAGCTTTCTGAGTCACCCCCTCTTCTTCTAGGGTTTCTCTAATTCATGTTCTGTGAACACCCACAAAAGGCTTGTCCTAACCCGATAGCCTCTGTTCCCCCCTTTCTCTATGAGCACTTGCAATTTTAGTTTGCCCGTGATGTGGTTCTCAGGGTAAACTGTTTTTTTTTTTTTTTTGCCATGTTGTGGTTTTACAAATCTCAGCTTGCCGCACCAGTGTTTCTTGACTTCTCTCTTTGTGAGGAGCTTGCTGCTTCTCTGTGTGTGACCCCTCCGGGGCTTTTGCATTTGCTCATTATATACTGTCACCAGCCACTGACTCTTTGTGGGGGGCCCTGGGGAGCAGCATATGCTTTCTTGCTCTCCAGAGAAGCGGGACCTTGTGGCAGCGTGCTGTTCTGTCACTTGGGGGCTCAGCCCTAGCTTCCACCACAGGTATAGGTCTGCATCGGTCACACCGCTCCGCTTACTGTCGGCTCTCAGTGCTCCCCCTCCCCCCGCCACAGGGTTTAGCTCATCTGAAATCTTGTATAGGCTGCCGGCTGTGAAACATTCACACCTCCCCCTCGTTTTGATGTTTGTGAGGGAAAGGGTTCATCCTACAGTCTACTGTATCCCAGTAACCCATTCAAACCCACACTTCAGAACACTCATCACGACCGGGTGGTTGGGCTAATGGCTTAGATCGGCTCTTCACATTCCGAGGGCTGCTGTTTTGGCTGGCTCGCTCCAGTGCTACTTCAGACTGCACTCAGAGGTGGGTCTGTGCTGGAAATGAGTGCTTCTACTCATCCTTTCGGGATGGCTAAAAGGGAAGTGTTTAGTTACTAAGGTCTTACTTTCAGGGCAATCCACTTGTCCCTGAGTTGTGTGAACATGGGGCCGTTTTCATCTAGGAGGACTTTCTTGCAGAGGGAAAGCCTACTGGGCAACGACTGCCCCTGTTCCTCACCAGGCGGTCATGGTTTTCAGCAAAGCAGCTGGCCAACTTCAGCTGTGCCCTAGGAGTCCTAGCCCCTCACCCACCCAGGGTCACCTCGTTGGCTTTCTAACCTCTGCCTTCTAATGGCTCGGGATGTATGGGCATGTGCATGGACGAGCACGGGTGAGTGCATGTGTGGGCTAAAAGCACTGTGCTGGTTTGCAGGATTGCCTGCAGGCCTGTGGGAGAACTGGCCGCTGCCACTAGGCCAGTCAGGTTGCCGGTGCCTTCCTGAGTTCTCACAACGAAGGCTCTGAGAACTCATGATGGCAGAGAAGGGACTACCCTCTAGCTAGCCTCTTTGGCAGCACTGTGGCAGGACTTAGATGCAAGGTGCTGACCTGGCATTTGTCTGGTGCTAGACTTAGCCCAGGCCTAGATGCTGACTCCTGTGTTGGGTACCCATCTCAGACATGTCCTCCTTTTCTTGATAGAGAGGAGGGGCTTCCTGCCCTCACTGAACGAAAGGCAGACGTATGTGCCCGCCTGTGTCCAGCTCAAAAAGAAAAATGAGTCCAAGTGTGTCTGGTTCGAGGATTCAAAGCAGAACGACGTGTCCACAAAGCGGAAAACCTGCTGGAGTATTTGACACAGTGCTTTATCGGCAGGCACCGGTGAGCACCTGTTTATTCAGCTCTCCCCACAGGGCTCTACCGAGCCTCGCTTTCAATCCATGGCTGTCTATCCTGACCACTTGAGGAGAGAGGACTGTACTCCTTCCCACTCCCAGAGAAGAATCTGGGCCACTTGGCATCAGGGCTTCCCAGGACTTGCAAAGAGGCAGAAAGTGAAGACGCAGCTGCCACCCTGGGCCTGGACACTGAGGGGAACCCTTGGGCAGGGTCGAATACGCAGCAGGAGCTTGACCGAGGACCCTTCCTTTTGGGAGATGTTTGTATCTCCTCGGGATGTGTGGTCGAGCAGCATTTGTGGGTCAGGGCTCTGCTCTGTTTCTTCGTGTCCCCATTGAATGGTAGGTGACACTGTAAATGTACTTGTACAGCAGCATGGGCCACAGCTCCCCAAGTACACATGCCACACCTGGCTGAGCAGGGCTTCTGAGTCTCACTACTGAGTGAGCTTCCTAGCCGTGGAGGCTGGCACTGCGTTCTCACATAGGGTCCCTGAAGTGAGGGTGAACAGGCCTGGATGCCTTAGGCTATTCAGGGTCTGTCTGCAGATGTAGGACAGCTTGGAACAGACTGGAGTGGGAGGACATTTCTGGTTCCTACACTGTTCTCCTGGGTAACTCAGAGGCACCCTGGCAGGAATGAGAACCTTTCTATGGGTAAGGCACACGTGCATTGAGGGGCGTTGGTAATGTTGGAAGGTAGGTGGGGCCAGCGCAGGCTGGCATCCTAGCCCCTTCCTCCCATGAACTTTGGCATGTTCAGTTGGCACAGGTGGCCTGGGCATCCTCCCAGGCAGGAGGTTCAATGGTCAACCACCACACAGAAACCCAAGGACCTTGCTACAGGTGCAACCATGCTCAAACCCCTTCCAGCAAGCCCTGCTGTGTGCACGCCATGTTCACACGAACACAAATGCAGTCTCACCAGTTACACGAAGTCATGTCCACTGTAGGTCTCCAGCCTTTAATTCATACAAGGACTCAAAGAACACATGTTACCCACTGAGTGACACGGAGCCTCATGGAGGAAGGACACAGTAGCTTGGCCACCATCCTGGCTGTCCTGTCCATCCTGGGTGCTGCTGTCCTGACACGTAGGCACTCACATCCTGGAGCCCAGCTCTGGCTCCTGCCACCCTTGCCTGAGTGGCAGTAGCAGAGCTGTGTGGCAGGATGGGTACACTCAGGGCAAGGACCCACAAATCCATGGACCAACTGCAGAGAATACCCATCCTGTCATCCTGGGCCAGGGGACCTGACTACTGGGCAGACCTTGGTGCTGGCAGTAACCTCCCTAACCCAGTGACGAAAAGCAAAAAAAAAAAAAAAAAAAAAAAAAAAAAAATAAAAATAAAAAAAAAATAAAAAAAAAGGTGGTAAGCAAGCAGCCTTTTCCAGGCCTTCTGCATGTCAGGACCAAGGTCTTCCAGGCTATAGCAGCTCAGCACCCCTAAGGCCCTGGTGCTCCCCAGGTCTCAAGGCCACAGGAGGATACCAGGATGCAAATGGTGCCCTGAGCCTCTCCAGTGCTGTCAAGGAAGACTGAGATGTAGCGCTCAGTGGACAAGGACACCGAGGGTCTGAATGTGCATGTCTGTAAAAGCCCTTGACTGTCAATGCTCCCCCAGCTTCTGCAGGGCTGCCTTGGTCAGGAAGGGGCCCAGGCATCCTCCCGACCTGCAGTACCAGGTCCCATTGACCCTGAGCTGAAGTTTCACCAGTCACCCAGCACCCCTGTGGCCAGGGGACCTTTATAAGTGGGTTGGGAGGCTAGACGTGGCCGGCTATTCCCCTGAAGTGAGGTTCCTCACGGACCCCCTGCCCAAGGCCGGACTTTGTGAGCCCATGTGAGGGAACAGAACACACCCTCAAGCAGCGTGGCAGAGTTGAGTCTAATGTAGCCATGCCAGCTGCCACCTCACCTATGCCACACTCGAGGAAACCCACAGTGGGTCTTCTCTGAGGACCACATTCACTAGGCTCCACAGTGGCACAGGGTCCAGGCCTGGTGTGTATGAGAATCCTGGCTGCAGAGTTTCTTCTGAGCAGAGGGGATCATGCATAAACTTGAAGGCCCTGCCAGAGCCTGGACAGCAACATACTGGCAGCCCTTGCAGGCTTCCTGGGGAGCTGCGGGATGGGCCTCAGTTTCTGACATCTGTGGCCCGTGGGGTCTGGTGGGGTGTCCCCAGTGGGAAGAGGCGGGAAAGGAAGGCACAGGCTCACTTGAGGTCTCCAATGGGTTGCAGCTAACAGCCACCCTTCCGGTTGGCCTCATGAGCTTCCGGGGTGGTGCAGGAGGGTAAGGGAGGAGTGTGCAGCCAGAGGTGCCCCTGAGGTCCCTGAAGTACATGGCTTTTGGGGACAATGGCTCGCAGCTGACCTGATATGAAATTAAAAGCTTGGGTGACAGGCGCGGTCAGACCCAGCAGGCCGGCACCCCATGCACCCCGCCCCAGTACTCAGAGCTACTGTCTCCTCATCCTGCCCTGAGCCTCGACGGCCAAGGGAATTAAATATTGTCTGTTGCATGTTTTGGCCAAGACAGTCCTTGGGGCTAGGGGATAGTTACCGCCACCTGGGTCCGGCTGCTGCAAGGACCAAGGTGACAAGGAAGGGCAGGAAGAAGCTGTGGGGCTCTGGGCAGCTGGCAGCTGAGGTCTTCTGTCCTTCCTGTTCTGACAGGCCGGGGAGAGCATGGGTCAAGGGGGTCCGGGAGCTGGAGCTCTTCTTGCTGACCCTCCGGCCACAGGTGTCATCTGGGCAGCCGCCACCACTGCCTGAGCCGCTGCCATCATCACCTGGGGAGGACAGGAGGCTGCAGCAGGCTCTTCCTACCCTGCTGCACCTGAAGACTCAGTCCCTAGGTCTGACCCCTGCTGTTCCCACCTGATCCGTGATAGCCAGATGGACATCCTGGCTGGTCTTCAGCTGTGCTACAGGGACATGGGACCCTTCCAGCATTCATGAGGATGAGAGGCTGTGAGGGTCCCTGGCAGAGGAGTCTGGAGAGGACTTGTCCCCTTCCTCTTATGAGCAGGACAGATTCCCGCCCCAACCCACCCTACCCCTGGCGGGCCTTACTAGCATCCTGGAAGTCCACGTCGTTGCCACCGTAGGCGCCACGTAAACGGTTGGTCATGATCTTGAGTTGCATGATCTGCTGCCGGATGGTCATGTCAGGCTTGGTGATGTCCACTTCCACTTCAGGGTTGTTGATCTGGTTGGCCAGTCCATCACCCATCACCTCAGGTAGGTACCTAGAACAGGGAAGTCAGGGCCACAGCTCATGACATTAGCTTTCGCCGAGGAGCTGAACCATGGTGTATCGTGTATCACACCCTTAGAGCCAGTGAACCTCCAACACAGTGGGAACCCATGCAGGCCCTACGGTAGCAGCTATGTGCTCATGCTGGGAGCTGGTGAAGGTGTGTAATCCTCTAGCCCAGCTTCCCACGCTCTGGGCGTTTGTGAGGACGTGGCCAAATGGTGGCTACTTACCGGCCCTTGGATATTCCGTTCCAGCAGCGGTCATCACTGGCAGGGCTCATGGCCATCTTCTCACTGCACAGTGTCCCAGGGAGGCTGATCCAGAAGTCCTGAATGTCTCGGAGCTGGGCCTTGGCCTCAGAGACCTGTTGGATGGCAGGTAGACCAGTGAAAACCCAGGGGGCAGATTGCCCGTGTCCCCTCCCACATACAGGGCTCTAGCCTCTGAAACGGCGGAACTTACCAGCTTTTCCAGAGTACCTGTGGGGGTCTTCTCTTGCAGTGCTAGTTTGCCACGGCGACGCTTCTCCTCAGACCCAGTGACCTTGGGGTTTCCACAGCCCTGGATGACCTGGGGAGATACCAAAAGCGGTCTGGAGGGACAGCAGGGTTTCTCAGGCCCAGATCTGGACAGACCCTCCAATGCTCACAGTGCCCGCCCCCGCAGCCCTCACACACCTTGGCTGTGAGTGTGTCCTTGTTGTCCTGGAGAGCGTTGATGGCGTCCGCCAGCCACATGTGTACACTGCCAATGACATTCTCCGCACCCGATGGGCCCCAGAACTTGTCAGTGATGAGCACCATGGAGTCTGGCAGGGGTGTTAATACATAGGCACACACATCACCTATGCACGTTAATAACACACAGTCTTGACAGCACCAGAGGTACCGATCAGCAGATTCACAGGCGCTCACACTCAGACTGGGAACAGCTCACCTTCGTGAAGCTTAGAGTATTAGCATACCCACATACAGTGCACAGGTTTCCACGAACACACAAAACATCTGGCAATCTTGATGGCCTGGTTCATGTCCATATATGTCCATGCTAGCTCATGCACGAATAGCTTCTGGCCTACTGTGTGCCCACATAAGCTGATGTGTATGCATGGAGATGTGCCTCATAACCAGCTCCCGTACACATGAACTGTGGGTCTGCACGTGCATGCTTTCATACAGCACAGATGTAACGTGTCAGATGGACAACGACCGGCATACTAACCAGCTCATGCCAGCTATGTACCAGTGCCAACATGCATGCATGCTAATGCGCCTCGCAGCAACAGAGATTCATACGTATCAGCATGTGTGTATGTCAACTCGCCAGTATATGTAGGCACACCTGTGACTGGCAGAAAGACCCTGTGCACACCACACAGACGCCTATTGTGTAAAGCACACATGCATGCCAGCGTGCACATGTCAGTGTATGTACATGCACGTATAGGTTTGACACGTTTCACCTATGTGTTGGTGTATGTGTATGTTGAGGAAGTCATTCAACCACACCCCTTGGGACAATAAAAGAACCTGCCCCTTGACCTCACAGACCCAATCATATTAGGCCCTTAAGCCTTTCATTTGGCCCAAACCAGGGGCTACTGTTTCCCAGGGATCCCTGCATAGTTGCCCTAAGGACAGGACAGGCAGCCTGGGGGTAGGGCTCACCCAGGAGATTCCTCCATTCAGCATCCAGGTCGGCCTGGTTGGCAAGGCAGCCTTTGAGCACATTTCGGCAATAGTCGGGGCAGGGCCGGGCACCAGGGACTCCCCGGCAGTGAGCACAGTACACCAGCTTCATGACGGCCCGAGAACATTCTGGGGCCAGAGGTACCTGGAGAACAAAGGCACCCTGAGCCTCCCTGTAGTCCTTGAGCACTAGTCTCCAGCTACCCCTAAAGAAGCACCAATATAAAGGGCTTAGGTACAAGTTAGAACATCTGGGGTCTGTGCTAACTGGCTATGGGACTTTGCCTAGGCCATCTCAGGCCCACAGTCCAAGGGACACTAGGGCACACTGCTGTCACCAGACTTCACGGCAGACAAGGAAACCAAGGCCCAGAGGTTGGGAGGTGACTTGCTGGGCCAAGCAGAGCTAGGGGGCAGTGCAGCTTAAAGCTGTGCCTTCCCCATACAGGTCTGTTGTGCACTGCCCCATTCTGTGAGATACCATGCAGGTCTGTGGGGCCTCAGATTGCTCAAGGCCCAGCTACATCATTTTCTCATTTCCTGTTTCCTGAGCATAGCAGCCCAACGTAATCATTTGGCTAAGGACACAGGACTGGCCGGCAGATGGGCAGTGGACTCACATCTGAAGACCTGCCATGTGAGCAACTGAGAATGGGTTACAGCCGTGAGGCTGAGGGCCCGAAGGCTTGGTGGAACAGTGCTGAGAGTGTAGGACACCAAGCGCCTGGATGCAGCATGAGGGACTCCCAAGGGTCCCTTGGGCAGTGTGTGTACCTGGGCCACCTTCCGGACTACATCACTGGCCACACCCAGGCCCTGCACGAAGGAGCGTGCTGCCACAAAAGCACGGGTGGCCCGCAGACGCAATTCCCGCGGGGCATCCCCAAAAGGCCGTAGGGCCTCTGCCTGCTTGCCCAGGCAGTCCAGGTAGTCATCGGGCAGCAGCAGCTGCGGGTGCAGCTGCTTGAAGAGGCGCTCCAGCAGCCGGGCCCAGAACTCGGCCAGGGTCTCCTCCAGGTGCAAGTTGGCGCCGCGGTAGTAGAGGCGCAGCTCGGCATACAGGTCCCGGAAGGCCCGAGTGTTCTGCGTGTACAGGTCCCCAAAGGCCCCTGGGAAGGCATCCTGCAGCGTGCGCTCCGAGTCATTCAGCAGGCGCTGGAAGTGGTCTGTGCACAGAGGAAAGGCATGGCCACTTGAGGCAAGCTGTGCTTCTCTGCCAATCTGCTAGCGGGCTTGGCAGAACACCCCCTGCTTTTCAGAACCTGCTTATAAAAGCTGGGCACCATATTGCAGAGGGTTCTGCAGCTTCTTGGAGACCTCTCTCCTCACTAGCGGTGCATTAGTCAGGGCTGTGCTCTCTAGGGACACAGGCCTCTAGCTGGGGCTCCAGAGGTCATTTTTGAGCTGGGTCTTAGGAACCAACAGGTGCTGAGATTCAGAGATTCTGGGAGGGGCTATAGTAGGGGTGTGTTGGGGAACCAGAGTGACCCTAGCTTACCTGCCAGCTTCCCTGTCTCTTCCCCCCCTCCCCCCAAGGCTTCCAGTTGCCCTACCAGCCCTCCTCCTCCTTGGGCTTTCCAGCAAGCCCTGCCCCCCCCCAGCTTCTCAGGTTTCAGGAGCCTCAGTCCTCAGACCCTCCTGTAAGCCAGCACCTCAGACAGATGCTTTCTGGGGAGGTGTGAACATGCGCACCAGATTCTAAGGTTCAGAGAAATGTCCGTGGTGGCACCCTGGCATCCACTTGGCAGTGGCATCTCCTCTGGAAGTGAGACTTAAGGTCTGTGACTGCTAAGCCCCTCCCTTCCATACCGAGCAACAAGGGAAGGCTCAGCAACAAGTGTTAGTATGGTTAGGGGCTCTCTGATATTTTCTGGGATATTTGCTGGAATTTCCAACCCTTCAAAGCTATGCCCCAGCTGTGGTTTAGGCTCAGTGTCCCTGCTTTCTCTCTACAGCTTCATAATTCCTGCTTCCCAGCTCCACCCTGTAAAACTATACCAGTTCTGTGTTCTAATCGCTATGCGCTACGGGAACTAGGCTGAAAATTTAAAAACACACAGACAGACAGACGGGGCCGCGGGGACATCCTTGATACAAGAGTGCCAAGAATGCCCACTTTATTGTGCTCAGGGGCAGCTTATAGAGGGCTCTGGCCATGCCCCAGTTCTCGGGCTCTTTCAGCTTCAGGCTCATCAGAACCCACTCCCCTGCCATCAGGGTCTGCAGGCTGCTCAGAGCTGAGGAAAACAAGTTGTTCACTGGAAATCCAGGGTCTGGAGGTCTGCAGTCCACAGCTTTGCACAGGCCCTGTATCCCTTCTGAAGACAGCAAACCTCATTGCTTACAGGTTAACATTTTAGGGGACTCCTCTGACCCCAGGGCACCATATGGTTCCTATTGAACATGCCACCACTGTTTGGATACTGTTTTCTGCCCATATACAGTGAGGCCACATGAGGGGTTCACCATAAATGATGCTAAACAGTAGCTGACCTGGCTTCTTGAAGCACGTAGGAGCCTTTTGATCCTGGCTAAGAGGCAGTCACCTCAGGGCAGGCTCTGCACCCTTTACACCCCCAGTCTGAGCTCCCTGGCTAGGGGATGGTAGCTGGGATAGTGGCCTATCATAGGGACCCCGAAAAGTGCAGGTGAGATGCAGACCAGCCCTCTGTAGGTCCTCAAGGGAACTCTGCTTGGGGCAAAATGACACCCCAAGATCAGCAGTTTCCCTCGGAAGGACAGGCTCATTCTCCCCAGGGCTCTGCCAACAACCTGGGCCCACTGTTCCATTTAAGCCCTGCAGGAAGAGGGAAGTCCTTTTGCTGATACGAGCCATCCAAATCCTGGCCTTGGAGTCCTGCCCCGCACCCACAAGTCCCTACCCTCTAGCCCCTACTCACCGTCGATGCCATGCAGCTGGGTGGCCAGCGTGGCCTGCAGGGCACGGCTGCTGTCATGGAGGGCAGTCTCTAGCTCCATTCGGCTATGGTTGGCTAGGTTCTCCTCCATCTCACTGGTGCAGCAGGTGTAGCCCTGGGGGCAGATCCGCAGGTGTTCACCTGTGGGATGGGAAAGGATGGTGTGACCGGGAGAAGTGGTCCAGGATGTGCCCAAGGCAGAGCCCAGCCCTCCCAGGACCCCGATAATACTCGGGGATGAGGTACCACAGGTGTTCTAGAGTCATTACAGGGGGGTATTGTGTGGCACATCCCAGCCTGTCAGGTAGGTACACAAGGACAGCCATTTTAGGGCTCCCAAACAAAGAGCCAACTTGGACCTTGCGCAGAGAGGGAGAGTCTGCCTGACTTAGGTTGGAAATCTGGCAGAGGCTTTCAAGCCTGGCAGAGGCAGAGGGGAGGAAGCCAGCCTCTTCTTGGCCCTTCCCAGTCTCAGAGGCCACCTAGTTTCACATGTGATGGACAGACAGTGGAGTGTCTGGTGAAGGCGGTTCTACAGGGCCAGTGGCAGCATCTTGCCAGACCCTGGCTACCAATCTGGGCTGAAGAGAAGCATGCTCTCTCTGGGCAGGCACTAGGTCCCAGAGGCTGCCCAGTCCTGGCCTAAGGCTCCACTCAGCTGGATACACGCCCAGTTCCCAGAGTTCTGGCTGGAGCTCCCCGACTCCACCAGCTATCCTGGGCTGCTGTGCTGTGGTGCCAGCTCCTGGTGGCCCTGCAGTGGAACCATTCGAGACAATATTGATCCCCACTTGCAGACAGAGGGTTGTTTTGGGCCCACAATCCGCTGTGAAGTGTCCACCACAGAGCCCTTACAGCATGCGCTGGGCAGCTTCATACCCAAGAGAGTCTCCTGGCATCAGAAGAAATCCTCAGCGAGATGTGTGAACCCCTCTGTTTAGGTTACAGTGACACCTTTCACAGGGAACCCGAGGCTTGGAGATTAGGTTTTGTCTCAGTGTGTGTGCGGGGTCTCTGAGTTGTTTAAGACCCATTAGGCCTGACGGACCCCAGTCTGTCCCACTCCCTCCTCACAGGTCTCTGAACTAGAGAAAGCCCCCCCCACCCCGAGACTGGCTGAGTCGGACAGAGAAGGGGTGGAGGTAGCAGCCCTGGCTGAAGTGGAGGATCTGGGAAGCGGGAAAGGCCAGCAGGGATTGCAGAAGCTTCCCTCAACCAGGCACGGTATTTCAGCTGTAGGGCTTAAACCAGAAAGCTGGTAGGATGCAGAGCCTCTGGAGCCTGGAGCAGGTGCCAGGGCCGGCCCCTTTTCCTTGCTGACGGATTGGTGGAAATGTGGGAGAGGAGTGGAGAAGGTGAGATGCTGAGGACTCCAAGATGCTGTGGGGGCGGGGTGGAGGACTCCGAGGAGAGCCGGAGGGAAGTGGACAGCAAGAGTGTGTGTGGGCAGGAACCTGCTACCGCAGGAGGAGATCACTGTGTGCTGGGGGGTGTCTACGACCCCTCACCCACCTGAAGCCAGCTGGGAGTGGAGACCCCGGGAATGATTTGGAGGTTGAAGTCACTCTAACGAGTACGTCATGATCTCACCTTTGTCTACAGTACTCAGTAAGTACAATCAGTTGTGTGTGCTGAACGAGGGGTGGGGTGGGGTGGGGTGGTGGTGGTGGTGCTGCAGGGTGGATCTGTGTGTGGCCTCTGTGACTTTAATCTGACATAGAAGAGACCTACCCCCAGATTCCGAAGCACGCCGAAGGGGGGATACTAGAGGGCCAGAAGAAGAGCCAGGATGGGTGGGGGCTCTCCATCCCTTTTCTACCCCTCAACCCGAGCAGTCTATCTAGCTCTGCTCTCTCAGCTTCAGGTTGAGGTCTTTAGCGTAGAGGCCCTGCCTCCTGCTCACTGAGGTATGGGAGCTGGGCCTCTTCCCAGAACCCTCTGGGGACTTCTGCCTCACAAGCTGAGGAGTCCCATCTGGTCTCAGAGTCCCCAAAGGCCCACAGAGCAGGGCAGTGGCTGACAGCTGGTAAAAGAACAGACAGAATTGTATTCTGAATCAAGAGTTCTTGGGGGAGTCAAGAAAGAAGGGAGCCAGGGACGGGAGGCACACACCTCTGGCCCTCTCATCACTCCCCTACCTCTGCCCCCCCCCCGCCCCGTTTTGGACCACTCTGCTTCCTCCTCCTGCCCAGGGTACCTGCCCCTTACAAGGTGGTCACTTCTACCCAAGGATCCACCCATGACTCCAGTAATGAGATGGGGAACATTCCCTGGGGATGGAGGTTGCAGGTGTCAGTATGGGGTGCAGGGGACATCCTGGGTCAACTGTGACAGGGGCATTCAGGGCAAAGGCATGTTGCAGGTCCAAGATTTCAGGTGGAAAATTCAAGGCTGCACAGGAGAGCAGCAGCAGGACAGAGGTGAGCCCCTCCCACTGTTCCCTCTCTCCTGACATCCTCCACCATCTTGGTGGACCCAGCTGCCACCCCTCACCATGTATACGGGAGAATTAGGCCGGGACCGGAGAAGAGAAATAAAAGCACACACTCAAGAAACAGGCACTGGTCCCAATCCATTGCAGGCTCTGGGTGAGTGGGATGCATGAGATTCTTGGCAACCACTATGAACATTCCCTATTCAATCGCCTCCCCTTGCAGCCCCCTGGCTCTGCCTGGCCACCTCGCCCAGCCAGCCCGGTGACCAGCGCTGTTCCAGTTGCCCCAGCACCGCCCCCGTCCCTCCCTCCCTCCTTGGACAAACACGGGAGTGAAGACACGGAGCCAGAGCCCGGGCACCGGCCTGAGGGCCCCGGGCAGGCTGGGCTAGGCTGCCCAGAAGCCCGTGCAAGGCAGAGCTGCTTGCTGGGGGGTAAAAGATAGGAGGCTCTCTGGCTGCCTGCTGAGCCCTAGCCCCTGAGACTGGGGCCACAGGTGACAGACACTCAGTATCGGAACAGCAAGGGCAGGGTCTGCAAAGCTGTTCACACCTCCAGAAAAGCACTGGAGTACATCCTGGGTACTTGATCTTCTCTCAGTTCAATCCCTGGGGAAAGGTATTTTTCCATCTTAAGGGATAAGCCCACCAGCAGCTCCCTCCTTCCCAGTCCCGAAAGTGGGTGGGGACAGCAATATTGCCCCCCCATCTCTATCAATCAGAATCTTCCAGATTTTTCCCTCCTTGGTTTTTGGAATGTTCCCCTCCTCTGGTACCCCCAGGTTTTATTTAGGGGAGGGGGTTGTTTGTTCATAGCAGGTTTTCCTCACCCTAATCTCCTTTCTAAACCTTGCCCCCCCAACCCTAAGCTCCCCTCCCCCATTCCAGGGCCTCTGGCTTCTAGTGACACCCAGCATGGCACCCCATTGCCTCAAACCCATAGGCAACCTCTTGTCTTCCTCCTCCCAGATTCTGGCTGCTTGCGTATCCCCCACCCCCACTCTTCTCCAGAGCAGACAACAGCCTGTGGCTTCCTACCTTTTGGGGGTCACACCCTCCTGCCACCTGCTGACAGCTGCAGCTCCTGCTCCTCCCCGACAGACACAGCACCCTTCTTGGTCATCAGCAGTCACCCTAGGGCTTTAGCATCCTGAGGGCATTTCAGATGCTGTCCATAGACCTCTCTGACCTGACCTCTCCTGACATCTCGGGCACCCAATGCCCTGAAACCCTCCACCCTTCTCAAGAGTCAGACCACCTCCTCAAGCCCATCCCCCCAGAAGCTTCCCTTGTTCACAGGACGCTGAAAAAATGGAAAACCTGTTTCCCTTACCCGGGGCAGTGTAGGAACACACAAGAGGACAGATAGCTCTCAACACCACAGCTGCCACAGCCAAGGGAGACAGACGCACAGGCTACCCTCCCCTAGCCGGTGCTGGCTCCTAGAACAAGCTTTTCTGTTGACTGATAGGGCAGGAAAAGTAAACCAGACCCCTGTGCTCCTGGCTTCTTTCTAGCTCCGGAGGCTGAGGGTCTCTCTCTCTGGTGGCAGAAAAGCAACAAGGAGCAAATGGCTCAGCTTTCTGAGGGACTACCCGCCTCCGAGGCAGGATCCAGGGGGCCTTCACTATCGCTTGCTTCTGTTCCCCAACAAACCTGGACCTGGCTAGTCCCTGAGGAGGGCATTTCAACCCCATCTCTGAAGTTGGAAAAGCATCAAGTACAACCCTTTGCCTTCACTTCCAATTCTCCCACCTTCCTGGATGCCACTAGGACCCCCACACCCCTGCCTCAATTTCACCCAAATGACAACATCACCAAGAAGATCCTCCATCACGCAGGGGGACCCCCTAACTGGGGGTCATCGGCTGCTGGTACTTCTATAAGCTCGGTAGGAGAGGGCATCTCCGGGCAGGCAAGGGCTCCTGCCAGCTAGCTGCCTCTCCAGCATCAGGAGATGCCCAGGCGAACAAAGCCTGGGCAGGCGACACCTGCAGCTCCCACCTCTGCCTCCTCCATAACAGAGATGGTTCTGAGCAGCTGGAGCTGGCAAGCAGGTTCTGCAGATGCCGGCGCTGGTGCTGGCGGCGCAGTGAGGAGGGGGCGCTGCTGCAGTGGGTGCGGCTAGTGCGCGTAGTGCTGAGCGTTGCGGCAGGCAGAGGGGCACTTGGAGGGGGGCTGTGGCAAGCAGGAGATGGAGGGAGAGAGGGCGATGTGATTGGCGGGGAAGGGGTTTGCCGCAGTGGGCGAGGCAGATATGGGAGGAGGAAGAAGGGGTGTGCTAAGGCTGCAGGGAGGGTGGGTTCAGCAGAGGAAGGGGGGCTTGCTGCAGGAAGGGGGCTGCGGCAGCCCGTGGGGGTGCAGAGGGAGGAATGGGCTAGGGAGGGGTAGCCAGGATGGTGCAAGTCAACTTCAGGGAGATGGGGATGGGACGAAGGTGAGGAGTTGGAGAGACGTGAATGGAAATTGGGGCTGGTGACAGAGGAAGGAGACGAGACATAGATAGGCTGTAGTGGAGCTGAAGATGAGAGGTGAAAGCATGGGGGAGGAGGAGGCAAATGGGAATGGTGATGGAGATGGCGGCTAGCAGACTCAGCCTGGCACCAATTTAGCAGGTACCCTCCTGGCCTTAAGACCCCCTTCCTGGTTGGCTGCTCCAGCGGTGTCCCCAGCTATGGACGCACTCCGGATGGCAAGAGCGATTCCGA